TCGATTTTTCACGTGGAATCGGCGTATCAACATGCTGACTTTCTCACGAAAGCACTTAACGCGGGAGATTTTGAGTTTCATCGTAACTACGTGATGAGTACGGATTAATATTGGTGTTTGGATTTATTTTGTGTGTGATCAAACAACTGGGGTGGCAACATTTTACATTTTTGCCTATGGTTTTTCTCAATGGATGATGTTCTAGGCTGGGGGGCAACAAGTTCACTGAAGTTCGAAGAAGTATAACTGGTATGATCGGGGATGGTTATTGATGTCTAGCCAATGAGGCTATTGTTCTAGAGTTGAGTGGAGTTTCTGATTTTATTTTCTTGTGTTTTGGAGTTATTGAGGATCGAAAAAGACATGGCATGGTCACAAGCAGGGGGGCTGATAGATATACTTGTAGCAATGCCAAGTGGTTGTAGGNAAAGAAGCATAATTGGTATGATCGGGGATGGTTATTGATGTCTAGCCAGTGAGGCTATTGTTCTAGAGTTGAGTGGAGTTTCTGATTTTATTTTCTTGTGTTTTGGAGTTATTGAGGATCGAAAAAGACATGGCATGGTCACAAGCAGGGGGGCTGATAGATATACTTGTAGCAATGCCAAGTGGTTGTAGGATTGTGTGGTACGTGGAATGTATTTCCAGGGTGTGCAAGGTACCCCTGTTGTATACTGCGTCGCCCCCTCATGGTGGTGCGTGCACGCGTGCGTTCAGTTCATGTGAGTTCATGTGAAGGAGAAGTTTATGCAGCAAACCCTACACGTCTTTCCTCCTTGGCGCGAGTTCGCCGAGTTGCCGACACCCTATTCAACATACGTCTTGCGACAAGCTACCCCCAGTTCGGATCATCCTAACAGCAGAGGTGCCTCGAATGTACGTCGTGAATCTCATCCTGGACGACCTGAATCTCGACCTGCCTAGTTCTCCGCTAGTTTTCCGTTCCGATACCAATGCAGGTGTCTGGCACCGGAGGATGAGACATTGCAATGCGCGCGCCCTGAAGCAGCTCTCGGATAAGGAAGGCACCGGCATCAAGTTCACCACCAACATTCGACCAGGTGACTGCGAAGTGTGCGATGTATTTAAAAGCAAGAAGGCGAGTCACCGCCCAGTTGGCCGCGCCCGTTCACCGACGCGAATGATGCTTATGCATCTGGACCTGTGGGGGTAACATGGTGTGCCATCGTACAACGGATGTCAGCATANCCGACGCGAATGATGCTTAGACTATGCATCTGGACCTGTGGGGGAAACGTGGTGTGCCATCGTACAGCGGATGTCAGCATATCGCAATATTTACCGACGGTAAGTCTCGCATGCGGTGGGGCATCCCCCTGAAGACAAAGGATGAAGTGACTGACGCGCTTGAAACCCTGATTAAAGAAGTCGCCGACCCCGAGGGCATCTGCATCGGGAACATCCGTTGCGATGGCGCAGCTGACTTCAAGCGTACGTTCTTAGCAATGTGTCGGTCCTTCGGGATTGCTGTGGAGACAAGCCCCCCGTACGTCCCTCAAGGGAATGCTGTCGCCGAACGCGGTTTCGGGACTGTCATCGGGGCAGCACATAGCCTCATGCTTGGAGCTCCGCACCTGCCGCGTCAACTGTGGGCGGAAGCCGTGAAGGCCGCCATTTACATCAAGAACCGCACACCTACTGACGTCCTGGACGGCAAAGCACCACTTGAGGTTTGGGAGGACGAACCACTCGGCAGCTTGAAGCACATGCATGAGTGGGGGTCTGTAGCGTTTAAGCACGTAGAAGCTCGCTGGTAGCTGATGGAGTCTAGACGTGAAGCAAATATCGACGTCGCTTCAGAAAGCGGATATTTTTACAAAAGGGCTACAAACCCGTCGGAGTTTCCCCGCGCCCGTGGCATGCTGTTAGGAGTTTGATCACCTCCCCTCTTCGTAATCAGACTTTATGTCTTGAGGGTTGGATGGTTTATGTGTGTATATGTTAAAAGAATATTCGGGAGATTTGTGTTGAAGGAAAACATTCGCTGCTCATGCAACGCAGCTGAGAAAGGCAGAACAATTGATAATGAGTCAGAAGATAACATGTTTCGAGAGGACATGGATATTGTGTCGAGAGGACAGTGAGAGAGAGTTGGATCTGACGCGTTGGTACTAGAATGACGTAGTTCTTGAGAGGACATGTTGGAGTAATTGCAGTACAGAGGACATGTTGGAGTAATTGCAGTACAAGAACGACTCTATTCTACTGCATGTGTTTATGCAGTATTGCGAAGGCGCTGCCAAGTCTGGAACGGTCAGGTGTAGACAGCTTGGGCGTCTGTGTGGATAATAATATCACTCTGTATTTGCCTACCTAACATCGCATCACATGCTAGCTACTTTGTAGCCACAGCTGAAGAAATAGCTGTACAGCGACTGCAGTGACAGTGCTGTTGCCTCAACAGTGGTACATGGTATATAACCGCAGGAGGGGGTCCAACCCCCCCCTCCTATGTGACCCCGGTTGGGTCATCTAGCTGGTAAAAGTGGAGAATAGGGGCCAGAGGGGCAGACGACAGAGTCCAATAATGGGAGCAAAAAAAAAACATGTACACCCTTGCCCACTTTGGTGACCCTCGCGTAGCGGTTGCTGCAAGCTTACAGCGAAGTATTTCCGCAGTTACTTCGCCCGTAGATTCTTCAGCAAGGTACGAGTATCTTGCGCACCACCCTAAATATCGAAGCCCTAAGACTATAACCGTTACCTCTGGTCCCGTTTTTTTCGCTCTGCTAATAGGCAACTCTGGGTCCAAAAGACACGGGGGCTGTATTATGTCCCTACTCCGAATAATGCCTTGCCCATCCACACACGGTTATGTTTAAATACTCGATCAGCGCCGTCATGAAACCATGCTGATGATGAAGATGGAGGTCATGCTGTCACAAATCTCCCAAAACAGAAACCGAACGCCCGTCCCACAACACAAGAAAAATTCTTCTTGCAACAAATATCAAACGGAGCTACAATAATTACACGAGGTCCAGCAGGTCGTCAACTAGAGTCGCAGCTAGCAACAACCACAGGAGGAGTGGTTCAGCTCACAGATAAATATCACCTCATTTGTCAATCTCTCGAAGAAGGTTACATCAAATCCCGTAGTGTTGAGTTTTCTCGAACAAGCGGTTCAACTGCGTAAACATGCGCCCTTCGCAGTCCATCAATCGTCACCAATCTTCGTATGCGCATTGATCCCGGAGGGGTCACCGACTGAAAAAATTCAACAAAGTGCATAGCTATTTTGGATGAGAGATGCAGCACATGACCTACAATAATGGTTCAATGCCGAACACTGCTACGTAAGGCCTCGAAGTCCTCCCGGCAACGACAAACTATCCACGGTAATTCGTTTCGTCGTTCATCCTTGTCCCTTCTCCCCCTGTCCCCTGATGTACGCGCTGTGCTTCGCACCGTAAGCGACCGTACGTGGAAGGAAGCCGTCTCGTGACCTCATTGGCTGTTTCTGACGGCGTCGCCAAGCTTGTCAAAGTACCGCTGCCCGTACTCGCGCTGCCCTACCGCGTCAAAGTGCACGGGATCATCGACGTTGGATGACAGACCGTCAGAGGGCGCTACAACCGTGAACGGGACGCTGTCAGGGATGGCTCGAATCGCCGAGAGAATTGGCTCCGCGCGCGCTCGGTCCTCTGCGGTCCAGGCAGGCGTGAACTCGCCCAAGATCACCGGGGCTTCAGCCGCCGCCGGGATGCGAGACCTCAGCGTGTTGATCATGTTCGTCCAGGTGGATTGGTATGTCTCTTGGTCTACCCCTGCGACTGCATCCGATTCTCCCTGGTGCCATAAGACGGCCGCGACGCAGTTTCCGGTCGCCCCGTTGCTTGCGAGCGCGGCTTCCGTACGCCTTACGGCATCTTCGAACAATCTCCCTCCCGGCGACCAGGGCCCGTTCACCAGCCGGGTGCCCCCGTAACCGGTGGACACGAGCAGCACGTTGCGTTTCGCCGGCAGGGTTTCGACGTAGGCGCGTCCAAAGGCGGTGCCCATGCCCACCCTTGTTTCCTCGACGACATCGAAGTCGGCGTGCTGGAGATGTTCCGACGCCGTGATGACCGTGTTGGCCCGCGACCACTGCTGGATGCGCGGGTCGTTTGGGCCGTCGATGTTTGCGTCGTAGCCTTGTCCTCGACCGCTCATGTTCGACTGCCCCATGAGCAAAATCTGCGGGGCCATCACGAGACGTGGCAAGGAATGAAAGGTTTCGACGGCGTGCTACACCACGTCAATCTGTATTGAAAAATGAAGAGTGGTTTGAGCACGACCAATTGAGCTGGGGCACGTTTCGAATCCGAGCCGCTCTGAGAAGTTCATCTCATTTACCTCGAGAGCGCAGCATAAACGAAAAAAAGAAGTCACCACAAACACCTACTTAGTGTCGACAGTACGAGACGCAAACGAAATAGAATAAGTAATGCTTTCGTTCCATGTACGTGTTTCGTCTATCCCAAAACGTCGCTTTGCGTTGATGACACTTGAAGACCACAGAGAACTTCGGAGCTCTTGGGGAGCGTTGGCAACAGTTTGGAACTTAGTAGATAGTGGAGGCGAGCAGGTGTGGTTCGTGCATGCTCCCTCCTAGAAGTCTTCAAAGGTGGCACGCTCCTCATGTTGTCGAGAACAAAACGTCCAGCGGCACCTCGTTGGACACCTGACTTGGGTAAAATAGCACCAACGGCGAGTATGAGCTACTCGTATGCAGACTAGTCTAAGTATACATCGCGCGGCGGGATAAGTCTCAGGCGAACGCAAACAAACACTATCACGGATAGAGGGTCGGACGGGCCCACGAAACGCCGAACGCATGATGGTCACTCGTCTACTCACTCACTCACTCACCACATCCGAGCCAGCGACTTTTCTTTTCGCGGTGTAGTCGGCTGAAACTGTACTTGGTTGTACAACACGCGAAGCAGGGCATTAATGGAAGGGTGTTGTGGGTCACAGCGAACACTGCTGTGAAAAAATCGATCATTGTTTGGCATTCCGGTTGGTCAATCTCGAGCCCAATGTTGAGACAGGACGACATATTTTCAACATACAGTTCGGAAATATATATTGCACACTACAATGAATAACGAACCCGATCCTTTTTTTCAGGGAGCTTGTCTTTGTTTTGAAGGAGAAGTCTACTCTCCGATGTCGGGCGTTAAGGTACTTTCGCAGAAAAAACGTATTTGGAAGGATGCCCGTTTGGTTGGATACGCTTTCGTAGTAGTGTATCTCCGATACATGTGTTGTTTCTGACAGTAGCTCGGCTTGCTATATGATCCATTGCCGAGTCGCAGCACCCAACAAGAAGCGGCATGCGACGCTACCCACGACAAATGTGTCGCCAACGCCAGAAGTTGGTTTGAAAAAAGGTGACCTCTAAAAGCTTGTTCCGAACTTTTTGCGTGGCTTCGGGACCGTTGCCTTTGTGGCGTCTATGTGGTCGTGCCACTAGGTTTGGGATGCAGTCCTAGGCGATACAAAATGGATGCAACATATCAAATGCTTTGCGAAGAGAGCAACAGGCGCCAGTGGTGGTGGTATCGACTGGAGTCTCCGCCACAGCAGCGCAAGGCGGACGGAGCACACATCATCCACGGGAAGGCGGGATGCCTGTGGGGCCTGCTGCCCGATGGCGGTCGTAAGGGTCGGCTGGTAAACAGTTTAACCACCACCACATTGGATACTGCTGCCATGTCAAGACTAGTATATGGGCAACTCTACAACCGATCTGCCACACCAAAAGAGCGCTGGTATGCCATTGGTTGGTTATCCCATCTAGACGGGTAAACCACGTCGTATTTTCCGGGATATCGTGCAACTGTGCTTCTTGCCGGCCGCGTTTCGTCAGCTATCACCAGCATCTGATGAAGCGAAGCGAGAGGACCTATTATATAATAGTCGAAATTGAGCTTCGACAAACTGTCCACATTCCACCACACGTGTTAACGAGGTCAGGTACGTCTCACACTTGCTCAGTCACACCACACTGCTTTGCTGCTGTTTCCTGACCTCGTTTGTGATTCCTACTAGTACGTGGAATAACTCGCCTGGTTCATTGACCACCACCGGGCTATCAATAGGAATATCAACTTCTACTGCTATTTATAGCAGCAAAGCACTTTCATAAGGTGTAAGTCGACTCACTTCTACAACCAAGTTGCTTTCTGCTGTATTGCTCACAGACCACATGTTTGTACATACCTTGCGTGCATGCCCAGCCTGCTTTTACGCTCTCACTTATCTCGTTCCTTCTGTCAGACCTTGACTATCACCAAGCCCTTCCCTCGGCAAGAGCACTTGATCCTATCTACTCGACCCGCCGTCAGGAGGAGCATGTTCACTTTTCAATGCATACAATTAGAGCACGCAATTAACAAACGCTTATTTCAGGTTCAGCCTCGAATTCTTACTGTGGGCTATAAACTCAGCGTATGTCGTTCAATTTCTTATGTCAGGTTTCTCATGTTTTCGTGCCGCCAAATTCTGCTGTATTTCTTAAATCGGCAATTTCATATTTTCTCTGCTCACGAGAGCTGGCGGAGAGCACCATCAAAACCGTACAGCAGACAGCATATCGTGGTTCGCAGCCTGTCTGGCGTGCTGTACCAGAGCCAGAGCGCCAGAGAGCGCCAGAGCCGGCAGGGGGCCGGAGAGGGGGGGGTCTACTCATAGTCGTGCATGCCGTAGTCGTTAGACCATTGACCTCGCATCCCTACAAAGCCGGGACGGAGCACGCCGGGTTCTCACCGGA